ATAATAATAATAATAATAATAATAATAATAATAATAATAATAATAATGGAGGATATAAGCTCCAAGCATCCATGGTCTAGTTAAAAAGACCAGGAAGAGTTTGGAAAAATACCAAGAAGAGACAAGGCAAGTGTTCAATCACGCTACCATGGCAAACACTTTCTTGAGAATTCAATGCATAATGTCCAGTCTTGACATAAAAGGCAAATTCACCAAAAGATTGATCAAGAACTTGATTCGATGAGAATATTCGGCAAGGGGAACCATATAGCGTCGAAAGGGAATAAGAGCAATAGCTTTTCAGTATGGATATTTCTCAGTAGTTTCCTCATAATAAACCTCAGATGTCCAATAAATTGATCAAACAGCCATGTAGGAAAGGTGGGCATATGGTTAAAAGAACCTAGCTCCTAACCAGCTACACTCCCAGATGTTAAGAGAATGAAGGAACAAACAAAACCACTAACAGTCTTTTTGGAGGAATCTTTAAAATATACAGCAGAGAAGAAAAAGGCAGCAGTTGCTATATTTAACAAATAAGACACAGACCTCAGAAAATCTGTTTAGTTTCTACCGTTGAAATACTCAAAACAAACATTTACCAACAAAACCTCTAAGCATGAAGAAGAAAACAGAATTAACATCATTTTTCAAGATTGAATAAATATTACTATTTAGCAAGCAGGCTTCATTGAAAACTTCTAAAGAATTCCAGTGAACATTTTAAGGATTTCATAAAGTAAAATATAATATGTAAATTGTGAGCAATGAAGACTAAATTGTTACTTAAAATCTGGGAGCTGGTATCATAAAAATTTTCATGAAATGATTCTGACCTAATAAGCACTGAGGTGCAGATAATTCAGTACCATGATAGCTGAGAAATTTGGGGATTGTGATCCCAGCATATTTAGAGGACATTTTATTTTAGACCAGGGGTGTCAAACTCAAGGCCTGCAGGCTGAATCCAGCCCATGGGGTGCTTAGATCTGGCCTGCGGGGCTGCCCTGGGAATAGTGAAGGACTGGCCTGTGGGGCCCCTTCAGCAAAAATGGAGCTCTGTTTTCGCTGGCAGAGTACCTGGGCCACCACAGGCGCCCCCAACACAAGTGATGTCAAGCTGGCCACACACCCTGGCCATGCCCTCCAAGGTCAAACACAACCCTGATGCAGCCCTCAATGAAATCGAGTTTGACACCCCTGATTTAGACCATCTCCATGTGCCTTTTGATGCTGATGAGAATCTATATTGCAGCCCAAGGCATACAGTTACCACATACAACTAAGGCACATAGATCTGTACTCATATTTCTTTACATTTTTAAAAAAACTGAGTATTCTAATAAATACCTTAACATTTTTTTTTACATTAGTGTAATGAGTCAGCAGTGTGATGTTACTTTAAACAGGATTCCACTACAGAGAGCAAGGAGTAAAGAGAGGTCTAGTTAATTTAAATAAAATTGACATTGGCTGAAATGGATAATCATATACACGTTTATATACAGACCAATTGTCTTTCTGTTCTTTTCTCACCAGCTTCATATTAGGCTCTCTGCACATCTCATTTGCAAGCATAGGCTTTAAATAAGGCAAATTTGCTCAACTACAAAACTACTTGATAGTTTGGAGATGGACTGGATAAAAACTAGGTGGAGTTAATTTTTCTCTTTGCATTCCATTTCTCAAGTCAGCAAATTATAATAGCATTTTATATTCCCATATTATCAAGAAATAGCTAGTCCAGCGAAGAATATGTTTTTCATATTGGACTGGATTAAACTGCTACAGTTCAGTCTGTTTATTCAGAGCATGACATTATCAAAATTGTGGTAACAAGAGTTGCAAAATTCAATCCCATCCAATTAGTCAGCCAAACAAACAATTGAAATTTTGGGTCAGTTTCTGCTGCTTATTTTTGATCCAGTCACTTCCACTCATGTCTTCTCCCATCCCTTTGCCAAAATTCTTCAAAGGTATGGAAAGTTCCAAGTTGTGATCTAACATACAAGGGCCGAAATTTGTCCAATAAATTAATCTCAGCAGGCTACCTTCATTTATATAATCATAGCCAACTTTCTCATTTCAGCCAGAAAACCTGTCAGGGGATAGCTAGTTTATAGGAAAGTATCAGTTACAGTATGGGTAAATCAAGGAGGTCTAACCCATAGGAATGATTAGATTTGTATCCACAGATTGTGCCAGAAATGGAGACATTCCTGAGGAGAATCTGGGCCCCTTTCTTGAATAATCAGTACAAATAATTCCAGATTACTTTTACATATAGATGCGAAAAAGCGCAGACAAAAAATATTTCTGATGATATAACATGCATTAGGTTAGACTACAAGGTATCTGATGAAATCACTTGCTAATACTCATGTTTAAAAAGGATGTTAAATTTTGTTTTGTTTTACTGCACCTTCACTAGTGTGAATCCCTCAAATAACTTGCTTTGAACTATTGATAACTCTCGCCAGCAGCCGATTTCTGGAACAGCTGGTAACTGTGCCATGTTTATTTTGGGGTTATAGGACAAGGAGCAGTTGCACCCTGAAGGATTTGACTCCCAGACTGGCTAGTGCTTTAAGTTTCTGCCAACCCCAGGAAACACATTCTCTACTTTCCACTGAACTCTGAACCCAGCACTGGCTTAGCAAGCCTGATTATTCTGGCCTCAGTCCAAGGCAAATGACAAGTCTCACTTCCATCACAGTGTGCCGTTGGTGTGTCATCGAGATGACAAGGAAGGGTAGGGACAAGGGGAACCTGTTTCACTTGGGTTTGACCAGATATATACACTAAATTCCAAAGATGAAAACTAGACTCCCAATTCCACCCTTGTGAGGATATTCAGGGGCACACGGACATGGAATTTCAAAAAGTGTTACAATTATTCTACTCTTTTCTTCTCCCTGCTCCATGGAATAGTTGATGTATCTCACTCAGAGGAGGTCATGGTTCCAGGAGAGAACAGCTTCTGGGCACAAAAGCCCTGGACCAAGAGGAGAAAAATTATTAATTGACTCACAAACCATTTTCCTGCTCCCAGGCTGGCCTGAATCTCAGCAGGACTCAAACCCTATTATGCTATTTCTAGGTCAACAGCCTCAGAGGAATGCCCCTCATTCACATACACACAAACACAAATACATATATAGAGACTATCGAGAGAAAGGTCTATCCATTGCCAATATCCTGATGGGAGATTCACTGGGGACAGGAAGCATCTCATATTTTTTTAAACATAAGTTTGACAATCCTCAAAATTAAACAGTACTTCACATGCCATATATGGTTCAAATGAGCTCATTATCACTATCTGCAATCGCACTGTAGAGCTATGAAATGGGTCTTCGGGAGAGATTGATGGGTTGGAATCCAATGTGCATGGGCTCACCTCTTTGGGGTGGTGGAGTTTTTTTGGGTGGGTGGGGGGGGGGCAATCAAGAGAATGAAAGGATGACATCACAAGAGGGAAGCAAAATCTAGGTTATCAAGAACTGGAGAGAAGTGCCGATGACACCCACTTTCCTGGAGGAACAGCAAGGCTGTTGATCCCACTAGGGATTTTCTGCTACCCCTCCTTTTCCCTTCATTGTGCACGGCAAGGAATTTGCAAATCCTCACAGAACATTAATTCCAGGCCCAGCAGAGACAAAGGGAACTGCAGCTAGAGCCCAGGGGGTTGCCTGGGTGCAAAGTCTGCTGCCTGGCACTGCCAGAGGACCGAAGAGGACCATGCTAAGAGGCAGTGGCCTTTCCATTGCACTTGTTTAGACACCCCGCCAAGGCACTAGCAAAGGATCAAGCATTCATTACGTCTTTTTCTCTCATAAAAGCTGATGAACTGGGGAGGGAGGGGGCTGAAACAATATAGCTGAAGCTGGTAGCATCCTTTTCCCCAGAGAATTTTCCATTGCCGAACAAAGGTAAACACCAATATTGCCTTCCTGTTCAAGGATCTGTCGGATCTGCCACCAACCAGGGTGGGGCAGCCATCAGGCTTGGGGAACGTGGTCCTCGGGGGTGCTCAGCCAAGCGAGTGTTGCTAAGCCTTTGATCTCACCTAGCAGCCTGCTAGTCCTGCAGAAGATTAGGCTGTAACAAAAGCCAACACAAAGCTACAGGATAAGGCGGTGGAGCGACTGAGAAGAGGGAGGCGATAATATTTACATAGGGCAGCAGCGTAGGACAGGAGCTGCGGTAGACATGGCAAAATGCCCCCACCCCATGCCCACCCACCCCTCACTACCCATCTCCCAGACCTCGCCTCCCTCAATCTGGGAAAAAGCAAACACCTGTTTGGTGAGAAGAAAAGATAGGAAAGTAGGCGTAAGACGACCCCAAAGGCGGGCTCTGCCAGCCCCACCCGGACCCCCTATCTGGTGGAGAAGGCGCAAGGAGCTCTGAGCTCATTGTTAGCGCCAAAAATAGGTGGGGTGGAAGGAAGATTGCCAAAGCCAAGTGCCACCGCACCCCTAGACAGATGCGACCAGGTGGGGGCATCCCTGAAGCCGGGAGAAGACGAGGGCGAGGCTGACATATTCGTTCTCCCAGCCACCGCCAAGCAGAGGGAGAAAGAAACTGCGGCTGAAATGAAAAAAAAAAAAAAAACAACCGAAAGAAAAAAAGCCGGAGTCAAGAAGCTGCCAGAGAGAAAGAGGGAGAGAAAAATCGAGTCACCATAGCGTCCCGGGGGAGGTCAAATCCCCTTTCCCTCACCACCTTCTCTAATGAAGAGGAAAATAGAGGATATCGGCCAATACCATTCAAGCCCCCCACCCCACCCCCACCCCCCCACCCGCCGCATGCCACCGGCCGTACCTGCACCGCCGTAGGCTTTGGCGAGCACCCAGGCCAAGCTGGCAGCGCTCCTTGCCCGAGGGAAATCATACTGATCCAAAGGCTTGATCTCGGGCACCAGGAAGCTCTTCCTCATGGCCGCGGCAGCCGCAGGGGCAGCGGCAACCATGGCCCCACCACCGGGAAACAGAAGTGGACACGGCCTGGTGCGGCGGCGGAGGCGGCGGCGGAGGCGACTAGGGCGACAGCAACAGAGACTAAGCTGGCGGCGGTGGCCCCAGCCGAGCGCATCCCCGTCCGGTTGGTGGGTTTTTTTTTTTCTTTTTTCTTTTCCCTCCTCCCCCTCCAGCTCCAGGTGCGAGCGCCCGCCCAGCCGTCCCAGTTTTTCCCGCCCCCTCCCCTCCGCTGCCACGTGATCGAGGCCGTCAATCAAGGCATGGGGCGGAGCATCCAGACAGGTAATTGCCCGAGGCAAAAGGAGCCGCTGGGGGTGTCTGTGTGGGTTGGGTGGATTTGAAGCCGCAGCCTGGGGTGGGTGGGGCGCGTGCGCGCCTTGCACCAAGCCGGCTGGAGGGGAAGCGGAGGAGCTGGTGGGGGGGGGGCGGATTGGAGTCCATTGAGCGTTTGTGCCAGCGCTCTCCCGGCGGTGAGGAAGGAGGGAGGGGACGAGAAACGAGATCGGGATTTCCCTCTCTTCTTCCCTCCCCCTTCCTGGTTATTTAGGCTGGAGACGGACTACGGCAGTCCTCCTGCTGGTGAGAGAAAGAGACACAAAGGAACCGCAGGCCGGGCTGGAGCAAGCGCGCGCGTGCTCGCTCTTTTCGTATGCAACACCTCCACCACGTTCGCGAGCAAGAAGGCGGGCGGGCGGGCGGATATGAATGACCCTCCCCCGAAGAAAGATGAGTTATCCCTTGGAGCGTACCCCAACCCAACCCGGACCTTTGCTCATTTCCGTGGCCGACAGGCTGCGCGAGTTTGGCTTTGCGCCCGGCCGTTTGTAGGGAAGCATTGCTTTGGAAAACGGAGTAGAATTCCGCTTCTTCCTCTTGCTCCGACGCGCTCCCATTTCATTTTTATTTATTTATTTATTCCTTTATTTTGCCAAACAAAGATGCTGTGGAGCTGTGAAAGGCCACCGTGATGGTTAAAGACTTTGGGGGCACTTTCTGAAAAAAACGCTAAGGGAGAATTTAAAAGCAAACCTAGCGAAGCCCGAAATCCAGAGCCGGTGATGGGGAAGGTTTCTTTCTGCTGTGACTTTAACTCTGGGCAACCAATCGAAGATTAAGGGCCGATAAGGGTATAAACGGGATTTGCGGCTGAACGATATGCGGTAAAGATCATTCGGTTTGGCTGCAGGAAGTAATTACCATTTTGTTAGGCTGGAGCCAATCTAAATCCTATTGATCCGGGGAACGGGGGTGGTACCTAAAGGTGGGGACCAACGCCTTCAATCCTTTAGTTTTTCAACCTGAAATTGTTTTTTTGTTTTTTTTGGTCCAGTATTTATTTTCCTGCTTTCGGTTGACCGAAAACAAATTGTCGGAATTTAAAAAAAAACAACCCACCTCGTACTGTGGTTCTTCCTGCTCATCCCTGTTTCATTAAATAGTTCAATCCACTGCCCGAATTTATTATACCTAACACAGTATCACAGAAGGGTTAGCATTTAATTTGAAAGCTTTAAAAGGGAATTAGAAAAATGCATGAATGCAAAAAGACATCTTCGCACACTCAGACCATCCGAAGCCTCCATATTCAGAGGCAGAATAATAGCAAGTGCCAGTTTATTTAAATGGGGTGATAGTGAAATTGTCAGGGTCTCATTTGCTTGCTTGTGTGTACATGCAGATGAAACATAATTTTCAGATTCATATTACCCCATGTTGCATGTATAAGCAAAAACAGACTCAGGCGCCTGTGCCACTCCTTCCTCTCCCCACCTTCCTAGCTAGATTCTAGGGACCCACCCTGTTAGCAAGATAAGCATCCTCAACAGCTAAACTTTTAAAATGTGATTTGAAATGAGGAATTCATTTCAAGGCATTTCACATTTTTCAATGAGCATTTGAGGTTTGTATGTAGCAAAGGGTCGTATTTTCCAGATGCTTTAATTTTATTCCAGATGTCATAGTCTTGAAACTCCAAAGAGCAATCCAGGAAGCAGGCAGTTCTGTACATTAACATGGAAATAAGTCTTTTTTTCCAGTGCTGTGGAGACCAAAAAAATGTATAAAACCAGCCCTTCGAGTTCCTTGTTTTTCCACATTTGAGTCTATATAAATTTCTTTCCTTAATACCAAGCTTGAATTTTGCCCCCCTAGAAGTAATTAGTTGTTTTGTATGAAGCAACCACTCTATCAGTTTTTAGATAAAACTTAGGAGCAAAATGTACTTTCGCCATAATGAACAAGAGCCAGTTTAGTGGTTAAGGCATCAGACTAGACATTGGAAGACTGAGTTCTAATCCTGCCTTGGGGCACAAAGCCAGATGGGGTGAATGGATCTTTTTAAAGGAGGCAAAGGCAAACCACTTGAGAAAAACGTAGCCAAGAAAACTGCAGGGACATATCCAGGCAGTCTTGAGAATCAGACACAATTTAATGGAAGGGGGGGGGGAACATAATGAAGGGCATTTGGATCTTATCAACTAATGTAGAGCACCTGTACACTTGGCAATCTCCAATTGCTCTAAAATATTTAAATTGACAAAGGATTGCAGACAGTGAAAGAATCCATATCAATGTAAACTGTACAGAGAAATCTTTTGAATCTCATGCCCTCCAGATACATTATGATTACAATCCCCAGAGTTACTAAGTACTCACTAGCTATGCTAATTAGAATTTTTAAGAGTTAGTTTCCAAGATAATTGATGGGCCCCCAATTAAGAAAGGCTATTTTAGGCCACTTGTATCTATTTGTATTTTTGTTTTGTTTTTTTTAGTTCTTCGGTAGAAACCCAAATTCCACTGACTCTGAAACAAAAGGGATGGCAATAAAAGAACCTGAAGTGGCCTGTAATTATGACAAGTACATGAGACAACACATGCATTTTATTTAGCAAGGAACAATGTGTCCTTTAATGTGTCCTTTAGTAAAGCACTTAGTGGATGGCACAGAAAATTGAACTGTATAGAGATAAAACCAACTAATCTCATGGGGTAAATAATTTGCTAATTTGGGTGCCTCTGCAAGAAACACTACACAGTTAAATATCCTATGTGCTGTTTTCAGTTAAATAAATAAGCTACATTAGAAGTTGTATAAAACCTCATACATGAAGGCCTAAGCCCTAACCTAATATAATAGCTGTATCTCTCTCTGCTCTGAGAGTTTAAGGAAAGATGGACCATAAGAGACCATTTTATAGGTACAAGAAGTCCCAGATGCCTATCCACATATCTTAGATCGAGGCAGATTCAGATGCAGGGGCCCTTTCCCAGGACATAAAAGGGAAAGGATGGTATCCTTTCCCAGGACATAAAAGGGAAAGGATGGTATCTGTGCAGTCTTTACAAGTATTCACATCCCAAAAACTGAAAGTTTAAAAGTATAAAGATTTGAACTGAATCTAGTCACACTTTGAGAGCTAATTTAAAGACCTAAGATACTTATAATCACAAAATGGAAATCCACGATCATAGAAGTAGACTCAACATTCACATGTATATTAAGTACTTACTAAAGCTTAATTGCTATTCTAATACTGTCTCTAAGTTGCTTACTGCATTCTGGACCAACTAAAGTTCTCAGGCATTTTCCAGAAGCAGAGTGTAATAGTCATACTTGGATATAATTAAGATGTATAACTTTGGCAAGGCCATTCTCTCAAAACCTCTGTTGAACTTAAGCAAAAACTGCTACCTATTTCAGACCAGGAGCAATGCCAATCTTAGGATTATTTCCAAATTGCAGATCTCCTTAAACAGAATGGAAACTCCCTCCAGAATAGGCTGACTAACAGAATCCTGTCTTCCCTGGATTAAGGCATATTGAAACTCTTACTGATTCCAGAAAGTGGCTGGAATCAGTAAGAGTAAGATGATCCCAAGTAATACAGCCTAGCAAGATCCAAATAATGGATGTTTTTTTTTTTTTAAAAAAAAAAAGATGAATCCAAATAAAAAATAACTACAAATTAATTTTATTTAATTACATTTGAATTTTTAAAAAGAACTTTGCCAATAAATAATGTTCCTCTTAATCCAAATGCTACAGATAACAGATAATCAGAGTTAGAAGGGACCTTGTAGGTCATCTAGTCCAACCCCCGCCCAAGCGGGAGACCCTACACCATTTCTGACAAATGGCAGTCCAATCTCTTCTTGAAAGTCTCAAGTGATGGCGCTTCCACAATTTCTGAGGGAAAGCTGTTCCATTGGTTGATTGTTCTCACTGTCAGAAAGTTTCCTCCTTATTTCCAGGTTAAATCTCTCCTTGTTCAGTTTCCATCCATTATTCCTTGTCTGGCCTATAGGAGCTTTAGAAAATAGCTTGACCCCCTCCTCTCTGTGGCAGCCCCTCAGATATTGGAAGACTGCTATCATGTCTCCCCTGGTCCTTCTCTTCATAGACTAGCCAAGCCCAGTTCCTGTAACTGTTCTGCATATGTGCTCTTGTGAAAGAAGATAGATAAGTGGGATAGGTAGCTTGTCCTTCTATCTTTCTGTCTTCTTCCCCAAACACAAAACATTTCTCATATCCTAGAAAAGCACAAAACTCCTAGTGACTTAATTTTCTTTGAAAGCCGCTTTCCGGAATGTGTGTCGGTGTAGGGTTTCTTTTTAATTTCACACCATAACATACTTTTTTCTACATTGCCAGTTTCTTTCAAATTAGTGTGATAAGAGAAAGGGAAAAACTCTATAATATGGAAAAATCTCAAAAAGCTTGGCTCTGGATCAGTCAAATGAAGGACTTCTTCACTTATCTTAAATTATTAGACTCTAGACCAGGGGTGTCCAACCTTGGCAACTTTAAGACTTGTGGACTTCAACTCCCAGAATTCCTCAGCCAGCTTTGCTGGCTGAGGAATTCTGGGAGTTGAAGTCCACAAGTCTTAAAGTTGCCAAGGTTGGACACCCCTGCTCTAGACAATGAGAAATCAGTTAAAATTGTAGTGTCTGCTTTTACCTAATTCCAATAAGAATCTTCTCCACTCTGATGCTTTAGAAATATCTAAACAACTCCTGAAATATTTAAAGAGCGATCCCTTCTCCAAAGAGAAACATGTTTGAGGTGACTATTGTAGATGTTCTACAGGTAGTCCTTACTTAACAACCATGGCTGAGACCAGAACTTTCATCGCTAAGTG